TATTAACAAGTGATAAACATCTAAATGACAACGGAATATGAGATTTAAGTGGAAGTCTTAAATGAATATAAAACCAAAATGATTCGAAAGTCAACACATGCCTCTACCCAGAAACTGGTGTCACAATATCCACGGACTACTAAGAGTACTACATACAACAGTTTGAAGGAAAAATAACACTGTTTGTCTTAGATACATGAGATAACAGAATATAATAAAAGATAGAAGAGACGTCAGGCCTGCGGACGCCTGCAGGACTACCTCGGAATCTTTATGGACTGAAGGTTGGCTCCCAAGCTACTGACTCAATGCTGTTCCGATATCTGCACAGAGTGCAGAGTGTAGTATCAGTACAACCAACCTCATGTGCTGGTAAGTACCTGGTCTAACCCTGGCGAGGTAGTGACGAGGCTAGGACCAGACTCCAGATAAACCTGTGCAGTTATATAATGTATGGCGGAAAATAAACAGGAAGAAACAGTTTAAAATGGGAGGGGGTACATGCCTCGGGGAAGCATATCAGGACCAACAGAAACTTAATAAAATATGAAAGGACAACTCAATATCTACAACACTACAATCAAAATATTGTTGCGACGCGCAACCCGATCCCTTATCATTTAACATTGATGCGGCGTGCAACCCGATCCATATATATATAGCTGTTGCGGCATGCAACTCAATCCAATATAATATCTGAGCGGCGTGCAACCAAATCCAATATAATATCTGTTGCGGCGTGCAGCCCGATTCAATATAATATCTGTTGCGGCGTGCAACCCGATCCAATATAATATCTGTTGCGGCGTGCAACCCGTTCCAACTATACAGTCAACAATAACCATAATTAACCGTCCCGGCAAGGGATAAACAATATACTACACTATCTCGGCAAGGGAACTCAGCAGTACACGTATATACGTCCCGGAAAGGGAGAATCAGCTATAACCATTCTTAACTCAACTCCTACTCGTCTCAATTACCACCATTTCTCAATCATAAGTAGATTCCACGATAAACAAACTAAGTATTTGCTCAATATCAAGGATTTACTCACTATTTCAACCATAGTAACATGCAAGAATACATCAAGTATCAATTTAAGACTCACAGTCATGCTTGACACCAACGTATAGATACTCGTCACCATGCCTGTACGTCGTACTCAATAAGAAGCAAATAGCAAATTGGACTAAACTCCTAATCCCTAAAGCTAGGATTAGACCGAACACTTACCTCGATGCCTCGAACACAACTCAAGTTTCAATTATAGCTTTACCTCTTGATTCCACCGCCAATTCGTTCGTATCTAGTCACAAATTACTTAATTACATCAATGAACGCTAAATGAATCAATTTGAATGCATGAAAATGAGTTTTCTAAAGTTTTACCTAAAAAGTCAAAAATTGTCCCAGGGCCCACATGGTCAAAACCCGAGGTTCGAACCAAAACCGATTACCCATTCCCCTACGAACCCAAATATATGATTTGTTTTGAAACCGGACCCCAAATCGAGGTCCAAATCCCCATTTTTTGAAAAACCTAGGTTCTACCCAAAACACCCAATTTTCCCCATTAAAATCATTGATTTAAAGTTGAAATCATGTTAAAAGATGTTAATGATTGAAGAAAACTAGTTAAAAACAACTAACAATTGATTTGGAGAAGAAAGGTTGTTTGAAAAATCGCCTCTTATGATTTTGGGGTTTTGAAAAATGAAAAATGATTGAAAATCCCGTCTATTTATACACCTCTCAGACCCCCTGCGCGGACCGCACAAAATGGACTGCTGCCACACAGGCCTTCCTGAGGTTACTGCGGTCTAGTACCCAGTGCGGACCGCACAAAGTCGACTGCGGCCGCACAGCAGCGCCCTATGCGGACCGCACAAAGTCGACCGCAGCCGTATAGCCTTCACCGCGCACAAGGTCGACCGCGGACCGCACTGGTTGGTTCAGAGATTTGCAACTTCTGGTTTTAAGCCTAAAACATCCTGAAGCCTACCCAAAACTCACCCGAGCCCTCGGAACTCCAAACCAAGTGTTCATACTACTCAAAAATATCATATGGACCTATTCGTGCGATCACATCATCGAAATAACATGTAAAATCATGAATTAAACCTCAAAACTTAACATTTTCATCAAGAACTCTCAAAGTCCATAACTCCTCAACTGAAAGTCCAATTCACGTCAAATAAACTCCGTTTTTTCACCAAATTTCACGGAAACGTCTTAAATCATATATAAGACATGTACCGGATGCCGGAACCAAAATACGGGCCCGATACCATCATGTTCCAAGCAACTTTCATTTCAATTTTCCTTAAATAGTCTCAGAAAATAATTTCTTTTAAAAATTCATTTCTCGGGCTTGGGACCTCGAAATTCGATTTCGGGCATACGCCCAAGTCCTATATTTTCCTACGGACCCTCCGGGACCGTCAAATCACGGGTCCGGGTTCGTTTACCCAAAACGTTGACCGAAGTCAAATTAACTCATTTTATAACCAAGTTTTATCATTTTTCACAGAATTTCATATTTACGCTTTCCGGCTACATGCCCGGGCTGCGCACGCAAATCGAGATGACTCTAAATGAGGTTTTCAAGGTCTCAGAATACAGAATTTAATTTAAAGCAAGTGATGACCTTTTGGGTCATCACAAATATTTAAAACTATTTTAAGCACTAAATATAATTTTATTATTAAATTTATGTGTTTGGATAAAATGACGTAACTGATGATGAATAATTGGTGTGCTTTGTTAAAAAATACTGATAAATATTTTTTTGTTAAAATGTTTGAAACGTCGTTAAATTAAATCAGTTTAAATAATTCATATTTACCACTACAAATAACTCTAGAGTTGACGGCAGTATTTTTAACCAACAACCTAGCATAAGCTCATTTAAAAAAATTGAAAAAACAAAACAACAACCTAGTATTGTTTGTCATTTGTAATAAATAACAAAAATTTAATTTAATTATTTATGTATATAATTAACTTTTCATCATGACTTGTTGCTTATTAGCAAATATTTTAATCTTGTGATATTTGGTGGTAATATAATAAATTTTAAGTGTAAACAGATTGAATATATTTTCATGGTTTTTTTATTATTGATAAAATACTAGATTTTCTCAATAACTTTGCTTAGGTTATATTCTTTTTTCAAAGTTGTGCGAAAAGTGTAAGCGGCAAAGTTCCCTCCTTATTATTTTCAATTCCCCAAATCCCTCTTTTAATTTACTTCTGTCGCATCTGTAATCCTAACTCCTATCCCCTTCTTCTAGGTCATTTCTTCTCCTATCTCTCTATGTGATCTTCAACCCCCATCTAGCCCTTGCTCCAGTAAGATCTGCCACATTATCACCATAATATATCATTTCAATTTCTCTCTTTCTCACAAGCACATACACACTATTTACAATGTTTGATTTTCTTCAAAAAAAAAAGTTTTTTATTTAACAATTTTAGAAGACTAAATCTGCAACGCTGTGCATTTACTTCTCATGCTTCTGTTGTTTCATTACAGATCCAGGGCATGTCATATTATTTCTCATGCGGAATTTCCTTTCCTTGCATTTGTTGGGAATTTGCAAATTTGGTTTTCTCCTAAAGGTATGTTGCATTTATGTATTAGGGTTCTTATTTATTGTAATTTTATTGTTAAGGTATGAAGAAATTTTGTTTGGTTTTCTTACTTTTGGAGTGGTTAAATACTTAAAATTTTATATCTTTACTCTTAGTTCTTGTGGTTATTTGTAGCCAAAGAAGAATTGATAATAAATACTCCATTGCTTAAACTCGAGTAAGTATCTTTACTTATATCTCATTTGCTTCACTATTAATGTTTGAAAGTTTAATTTATTATTACTTGGTTTTCTTTTCACAGGTATATGAAGGTGGAAATTTCTTCAGGATTGAATTATTAGACAAGTAGTTACATTAGCAATTTGAGGAAGCAACAAATTTTTATTTATTTTTTAATTTATCAATATTCTTGTATTTCTATTAGACTTTCATGTTGGATATATTTTACTTTATTTGTGTTTTAACTTATGAAGTTTGTAACGAAATATTATCTCAATATAATTTTAGTTCTTTTTAATTTTATGTTCATGGATGGAGATTTTTGTTGCAACCTTGCATGTTATATTCTGTTACTTCCAATTTATATAATAATAATTTCTCGAATTAAAGGAAAATCAGGTAACTAGTGACAAAAATAAAGTTTTCCAAGAATTATCTTATTAACGATGGATTTACTTTGTACTTTGTGACTATTGTAATTATGACATTTTATGACAATTTATTTTTGTCGGTAAAAGCAATATATTTAGCGATCAGATGATAGTTTTAACTACAAAATTGTAAACCATTTTTATAAAAGTAAAATTGTCACTAATTTATATATTTAGGGATGAAATATTATTTGTATCTAAAAGGCGATCTTTAGTGACAAAATTACGTTTATTCAACTACGAAATATACGTAACTTTAGAGATAATTGATATCGTTACTAATTAAACTAAATAATTAGTGACAAAGGTCGTTTGTCGGCATTAATAACCTTTTTAGTGACGAAAACAAACAACCAGCTACAAATTTTTTATATTTTTTTGACGAACAAGAGGATGAAATAAAAACTTCGTTGTTAATATAACTATATTTAGTGACAAAACACGAAGTTGTCTTTGTATACTTTTAGTGACCCTCTTTTAAGGATGAGCAATTGACGAATTAATTTTTATCACAAATTTTTTTTTGTGACGAAATATAAGCTTTAAGTGACAAAATAATTCGTCACAGATAATCAAATTTGTTGTAGTGTTAAGTAGGGTATCATGTGTTTATTTAGTAGGGCTTTGAAGACCTACTAAAAAATATACGAAATACACACTCAAATACTAAACATATACGAAATGCACAATTAAATACATGTATATAGATGAATTATTTCGAATTATATGG